TCCATAAACGGCAGCTATCCCGGGGTACTCTTGCAGTCCTGTTTGGGCTTCTCGGTTCGGGATGCTTGCTTTGTCGGCTCGTGTCTCTTCGCTAGTAGCTCCATTTCTTCTTCGTAGGCGACGAAATCTGAGGCTCGGTGCAGCGCGTCGCGAATTGTAGTAGGTTTGGATAGGTTCAGCTCTTTTCTGAATTCTGACTTGTACCAGAGAGCTTTCTTCAAAGCCGAAAGAGCGGCTACATCTGTAATTCCTTCGACCTTGGCTAGCGTCGATTTGAAGGTTGTGAGGAAATCTCTCAACGGTTCGGTGGGCTGTTGAGATAGGGACCACAGATCCGCATCGGAGGTTCCGGGGTCGATGAGGACGGAGTATTGTTTGAGGAATAGTGTCGACAGCTCGTCGAAACTGTCAATCGAGTTTCGTTCCAATTTAGAAAACCACTCTAATGCGGGTCCTTTGAGGTGTTCCACGAACAGCAAGCATAGACCTGCATCCTTCTCCCCGGGCTTGAACCTGGCTCGGGCTACGGATATCACGAAAGATTTAATGTGACACTTCGGGTCGGTTGATCCGTTGTAGGAGTCGATTTTGAACTTCCCCAGATTGGACATCGTCGTTTCGGAAATTCTTTTGGTGAAGGGCGTATTCCGAGATTCTTCTAAAATTCGGTCGATGTTTGGTGCAGAGGATGAAACGCTATGTATCTGGGTTTTGACGAGCTTCATATCAGCTTCCGCCTTGGCTAGGGAGGCTCGGATCTTGCTGAGCTCGTCCTCCCTTTCGGATTCTTCGGCCCATCTTATGTTCTCCTCAGTTTCTTCATCGTCAGTGAGATCTGTTCGCTCGGCGGAGTTAGCTCCGGCTCGGGTACGCTCATCTTGCAGATCATCTGGCTCGTCCGTCAAGTCCACTGCGTCTGGCTCGGTGGGATCATCTTGGTTCTCACGTCTGGCAGGGTCGGCTCGGGTTGCGACTCTGGTGTTATCGGTTAGCGTCGCGAACGTTAGTCTCGTTGGGTTGATGCCAGGGAAGTCCCTCCGAGCTCGTGGCGGCCGAGTCTGGAAACGCGTGGTTTTTTGTTGCCCACGTGTTGCGATTTCGTCGACTCGCTGCGCCAAGGTTTTGTTAGCTGTCTCTTGATCGTCAGCTTTCTTCTGGAATTTAACCATCATATCCTTCAGTTCGGCTAGGGCTGCTAAGATTGTCGGATCGGCTTGAGGATTTTGAGGGTTCAGAGCATTAGGGTTCCCTCCTCCGGCTGGCGGTATCTG